CACCCCCTCTCAGCTGCCTCGCCTCGCCCTGCAGCAGCCGCACCAAGAACATGATGTGGTACGGGGTGCTGGGCACGAAGGAGCTCCTGCAGCGCACCTACAAGAACCTGGAGCAGCGCGTGCAGCTGGAGGTGGGGGCTGGGGGAGCAGACACTGGGAGTGGAGCGGTGGCGCGGCGGCCCCCCCAGGCTCAGCCCTCTCTTGCAGTGCGACGGGGTGCCCATCTCCCTGCCCAGCCTGCAGGGCATCGCTGTGCTCAACATCCCCAGCTATGCTGGAGGCATCAACTTCTGGGGAGGCACCAAGGAGGACAATGTGAGTGCCAGCAGCACAGGGGTGGGGCATGATGTCCTTTCTCACAGTCCCAGGGAACTGGGGAGCCCTTGGGCCGGTGTCTGGGGTGTCCCTACCTTGGGCACAAGTTGGGGGGGAAAAAAAGCTGGGTCCCAAAATGAGTGTGATTGTGCTGGTTGCCTGCAGAACTTCGGGGCTCCGTCCTTCGATGACAAGAAGCTGGAGGTGGTGGCCGTCTTTGGCAGCATCCAGATGGCCGTGTCACGGGTCATCAACCTCCAGCACCATCGCATCGCGCAGGTAGGGGCACGGGACCCTCTGTGGTGCTGGAAAGCTTTTGGGGCTCCAGCAGAGCCTGCAGTAGTGTGGCTCAGCTGAGTTTTGAGACCTGGCAGAGCAGCCGAAGCCGGTGAGGCAGTGCCAGCTGCGATGCCAACACCGGGCTCTCTGCCCCACAGTGCCGTGTGGTGAAGATCACCATCCGTGGGGATGAGGGTGTCCCTGTGCAGGTGGATGGAGAAGCCTGGATCCAGCCGCCCGGCGTCATCAAGATCCAGCACAAGAACCGAGCCCAGATGCTGACGCGGGATCGGGTGAGCTCAGGGTGGCACAGCCCGTGCCCTGGGGCCGTGCTGGGGCACGGGGAGGTGTGACAAGTTGAGGCGGGAGCATCTCTGTCCCCTGCAGGCATTCGAAAGTACCCTCAAGTCCTGGGAGGACAAGCAGAAGGGGGAGAGCTACCTCACGGCTCAGCTCCCAGCAGTCCATGGAGTACCTGACCGAGGAGGAGAGCAGCCTCTTGCAGCAGGTCTCACGGGTTGCAGAGACCCTCATTGCCAGGTCAGGCTGGGGCGTGGGGCACGTGGTGGGCACGGGAGCTTCACTGTGGTCACCCGGAGCTACGGGGGTCTCCTGGCGCTATGCTGCCCCTCCAGCCCCTCTCTCCCGCAGGATCCACGAGGCAGCCAAGGCTCATAAAGCCATGGAGCAGGAGCTAGCACATGCTGTCAACACCAGCTCCCTGGCACTGAGTGAAGCCCTCTCCAACAAAGCTGCTGGCACCTCGGAGGTGAGCTAGGTCAGCGGATGTAAGGCAACCTTCACGCAGATGCCCTGGGGCCCTGGCACTCAAGGAGTCATCCTTCCATAACCCCCAGTTTCTCAGCAGGCTTGAGCATCAAGGAGCTGTATACTGAGACCAGGATGTTCCTGGAAGGGAAGGCGGTGAGTGGGGGGCCAGAGAGTACCCTGAGCTACCCAACAGAGGGGCCCGTGCCCTCAGCCAGCACCTCTGGGGGTGGCAGCAGGACTGGGACAGTCCCTGTGCCCCTCAGCTGGACTCGCCCCAAGAGGAGGAGGCACTTCATGGGCCCCTGAGCGTGCTGGGCCAGGAGCTGCAGAGGCTGCTGGACATCCACTGGCTGGGGCCTGTTGCCCACCCTGCTGAGGAGGTGGGTGCGCAAGGACTGCAGGGGTACAACCCACTGGGTGGCCCCAGGCAGGGCTGTAGCACCCCACTCAGCCTGGCTTCTCCCAGGAAAGCACTGGCAGCACCAACAAGGGCAGCTTCAAGCTTCGCCTCAACATCCCCAAGCCCAGGAAGGACAAGGACAAGGTGCAAAAGCAGAGGACCAACAGCGTGCTCCCAGGTAAGGCGGGCAGCATGCTAGGGAGGTAGGCAAGGGCAGCCCATGCTGGTAGGGACCCCCACATGCTGATCTAGCCCATCAGCCTCCTGTCCTGGGCATGCTGTGGCAGGACCTTCTGGAAGGGGGATAGGGCATGTCCTGGCTGCCTGGGGACATCACCTTTGTCATCCACAGCCCCTTAGAACTTAAATTTTCTGGTAACAAATACATGGAGCTCCCCCGCCCTGTAACTCCACCCCTGCAGGGGGAGAAGGGGGCTATGGTACAGCTCAGCCCTTCAGGTAAGTCCCTAGCCCATGGCTGGTGGTCTTCTCAAGGGGGAGAAGCTCATATGCTTCATAAGCAAGCTAAGGAGAGGAGAAATCTCTCCAGCCTGAGTCTGCTGCAGCCTCTGGCCCCGCCAGAGCGCAGGAGCGGGGGGGCCGGGGGGGGATGGCGGGCTGCTGGCTCCGCTCCCCTCGGCTGCCTGCTGCTGCTCTCCTGCGTTCGGCTGCCTCTGTGGGGGCCCAGGCCACCTCTCTGGTTTTCCTCCCTGCTAGCAGACAAGTGGGGCTCCGAGGAGGTGGCAGCTTGGCTGGAAGCGCTCGGTTTAGGGGAGTACAGAGAGATTTTTGTTCGGCATGACATCCAGGGCTCTGAGTTGATCCTGCTGGAGAGGAGAGACCTGAAGGTACAAGTCCCTCTTATGGCCCCTGAGGGATCCCCAGCCCTGGGGAGCACACTGTCCTCCATCCCTCCTCTCCCTCCTCCCTCATGGTTCTGCCCCTGTGCCTGGCCCCAGCCCTGCAGGGCTGAGCTTGCACTGCTTGCTTCACTTGCACACAGGGGCTGGCAGAAGCCTGGCCCTGGCCCCCTGAGCTTGCAGAGCCCAAAGCAGGATCAACAGCACCATGCCCCCTCCTGCACCCAGGCATGAAGACATGCTTGCAGGAGGACTGGGGACTCCCAGAAAGGACCATGCTCTGTCAGGGAGGGCATGGGGAGCTGGGCTTTGCAGCCTTACCCTGCAGCTGCCCTGCCAGCGAGAGCCCAGGGCTGGCCCTTTTTAAGTATGTCAGCTCCCTTCTCTCCTTCCTGCAGGACCTGGGGATCACCAAAGTGGGACACATGAAGAGAATCCTCCAGGCCATTAAGGAGCTCAGCAACCCACCCTAGGCCAGCAGCAGGGCAGGACCCAGCCCATGCACTGGGTCCTGCCCCTTGGGACCAGGGCTGGAGCAGGGGGCTCCAGGTCCCTGCTGTGCCCCACCTGTGTGAAGCCCCACCGCTTGCCTTGCTTTGTCTGTTTGTCCCCTGGTGTCCATGGAGCTGCTGCTTCTCCCCAAGCCTGTGGAGCTGGAAACACTAAAGTGGAAGTCTAGCCCTGTAGGCAACACCCTCTGGCCCCCAGTCCAGCCCCCTGCAGGGTTACTACAGGAGCCTGGGCTGCCAGATGTGTGCCCAAGCTGGGGCCAAAGCAAAAGACCCCTTT